CCAAACAGGACTCCAGTCAGCCATCAGGTGAAAAGGAGGAACCCAGACCCAGACCAGTGGTCATTCCGTATGTTGAGGGGGTATCAGAGAAACTGAGACGTTTATTTTCTAAACATAACGTCCCAGTGGCTTTTAAACCCCAAAATACATTACGGCAAAGACTGGTTCATCCCAAAGATCCAGTCCCCCGGCACAAACAGAGTAATGTTGTGTATGCTGTTCAGTGTCAGGAGGGCTGTGATCAGTCTTACATCGGGGAAACTAAACAGCCACTGGCCAAAAGGATGGCCCAGCACAGAAGATCAACATCATCAGGCCAGGATTCTGCGGTCTACACTCATCTCCAGGCCAGCGGTCACTCTTTCAGGGATGAAGATGTTCACATCCTGGACAGAGAGGAACGATGGTTTGAGAGAGGAGTAAAGGCCATCTTTGTGAAAAGAAATCGTCCATCATTAAACAGGGGTGGAGGCCTCCGGGTTCAACTGTCCCCCTCTTACAATGCTGTGATTGCTAGTATCACTCAGCCCTATGTGAACAGTAAACAGCCATCAAGTGATGCTAATGATCCATTGTTATGCTGATGGTCCTTCTTGAGCATGTGATCAGCTGGTTTTGGTTGTCAGCAGCAAACTGGTTGATCCACTCTGTGAAGGTGCTTTTTAAGAGACTGAGCTGAAAACAGCACCTCAGACTGAGGAAGTCTCTTGGATGAGAGACGAAACGTTTCTAGATTTTTTTGCTTTGTTTTGTTTTTTGTTTTTTTGAATGTCCAGAGGACCAGATTGAACTTTTTTGGACTTATATTAGTTACTTATTCCGAATACAGGGAGTCGCAGGTGATTGCCTCACTGTGACTGCTCATTGTTTGTCACAAAGGAAAGACAGAGGGATTTCAATTCATTTGTGAACACCAAGGGACACGGAAGGAATTATTGGAAAAAATACACTCCAAAACTCAGTTTCAGTTTGTCATTTATTTAAGGACCTCCTGATATGTTGTGAAAGAACAGAAAAAGAGCTTGAAGGCATTACAGTAATAGTAAATGGTAGATTTTAGCCAGCTTTTGCAGCTGCATCGGAGCTCACTTCAGAGCAGTGCCCTTCTGCTATTTTCAAATCTACTTCCAGTTCTTTGTGTATGTCCTCGTATTTTTCTTTGAGATGTGCTTTTATTTCCTCGAGCAGTTTCTCGTCAACGTCAGGATTCTTGACCTTCTTTTCTGCTTTTTGGCCACACTGGGAATAAAAACAATACATGCATATTCAATTTGGCCTCACTTTAAAAATAATTTTTAAGGATTTCTCAGGAAAGCATAATAAAATATAATGTCAATAAATGCAATGGAATTGACAGGTTGTTATAGTAATAGAATAGAAAAGTAAAAACATGGTGTTTAATGGGCTATAAAGCATTAACCTTTAGATTTGCTTGAAAATAAACAATCTCTGCCACACAACTAATTTAAAAAAGTTATGAAGCAAAGTGAAAATTGTGAATAGCCTTTGTATAAACTACTTACATTCAAACAAATCTTTTTTTCTGCATATATGGTCTACTAAAATACATGTTTTTTTCTACAAATCTGTCATAGTAGAAATATTAATTATTACTTTATTCATCTACTTATTTATTTATTGCTTAGAAAAACACACCTGACTGAATCAGTGGATTATTGTAGTTTGGCAACACGGTAGTAAATGATGAACAAAAACAATCTGAATTTACAAATCTACAAACAGGACTTTCAATAGGTAAATGTATTTTTATCAATCTTGTTATTTTTAAGGGGTATAGATTAAATATATTTTTTGTTGTTTTTGACTCCATGACTGACTGCAATGTTGTTTGTCATCTTAACTTTCATTTTGGAAGCCCTTGTAGCACATGGGGGTGGGAGGAGCATGCGTGGTTTTGGGTGGGTGTGGCCACGGCTAGGCCCACCTACTTTATGGCAAAGCCCATTAAATCCTCAAAC